ACGCCCCCTACTGGGGATTGAGCCCAAAACCTGGGCATGTGCCCTGACTGGGAATAGAACCTCCATCTCCTGGATCATAGGTCGATGCTCAACCACTGAGCTACGTCGGCCGGGCATNCTGGGGATCAAGCCCAAAACCTGGGCATGTGCCCTGACCGGGAATCAAACAGTGATCTCCTGGATCGTAGGTCAATGCTCAACCACTGAGCTACGTCGGCCAGGCAGGATAACTATATTTCAATATAATTCATTTCCTTCATAATCCTAAATGCTTCCTATCAATTCTATGTGTTTTACTTTATGAATTAAAAAATATCATACCGAGAAGGGGCCCAAAGGTTTTATCAGACTGACAAATAGGTTCATAGCTCAAAGAAGNGATAACTATATTTCAATATAATTCATTTCCTTCATAATCCTAAATGCTTCTTGTCAATTCTATGTGTTTTACTTTATGAATTTAAAAATATACCAAGAAGGGGCCCAAAGGTTTTATAAGACTGACAAATAGGTTCATAGCTCAAAGAAGGTGAAGAACCATACTATAAAGATACGATTATTAAGATGGTATGGTATTGGCAAGGGATGGACAAATAGACCTATGGAACAGAATAAAATTCCAGAAACAAATATACATTTTGATGACTTATGGCAGAGCATAGACTTCTCTTTAACAAATGATGTTGAGACTATATATAAAATTGGAGTTCTAAAGAAATCAACTCCAGGTGATCTATATAACTAACATGGAAGGAAAAACCTATAAAGTTTTGAGAAAATAACATGAGAATAAATTCATGATTTTGTGGTATGAAAGGACATTTTAAAATGAGACACAATAAACACTATGCATTAAAAAGTTTGATGAATGACTACCTTAAAGTTCAGAACTTCTGTTCAATGAAAGACACAAAGAATGAAAAGGCAAGCCACAGAATAGGAAAAATTTAAATACATACAACCAATAAAGGACTCATCCATGAAGATCTACAAATCTTATAAAAATGACAGCTAGGCCTATAGAAAAAATGGGCCAAAGATTTGGACAGACACTTCACAAGAGAAAAACTCCAATGGCCAGGAAACATTTCAAATGGTGCTTAACCTCACCAGTAATCAGGGAAGTGCAAATTAAACCCACAAATACACACCACAACTTATCCACTAGTTTGGCAAAATTTCAAAGGTGGATAATACCAAGGGTCAGGAATCATGAGGAGCGATGATGACTATTCTACAGTGCTACTGAGAGTGAAAAACTGTTTGCTATTATCCAGTAAAGCTAAAGGTATGCATCCTATTATCTCCACATATGTACCTGGAGAATCTTGACCCAGGTTCACCAAGACATACATAAAAGAACACTCACAGCAATGGTATTCCCAGTGGCCCCAAACCGGGGACAACTGAAATGTTTAACAAAATGGATAAACTGGGATATATTCTACAATGGAATACTATTCAGCAATGAAAAAAGTGAGCTGTAATAACATGAATCTTACNATTCTACAATGGAATACTATTCAGCAATGAAAAAAGTGAGCTGTGATAACGTGAATCTTATAAAATAATGTAGAACAAAAGAAACATGACATAAAATCATACACACAGGATGATTCCATTGCATAAATTTAAAAAACATGAAAAATTGAAATATATTTTTTAGGGATTCCAACACTAGATGGTAAACTATAGAGAAAAAAGGAAATAATTGTGAAAAAATCAGAGTAGTGGTTACTTCTGAAAGAGGAGGGAGGGATGCCCTAGCTGGTGTGGCTCAGTTGGTTGGGCATCATCTGGTGCACTGAAAGGTTGCTGATTCAATTCCTGGTCAGGGCACATGTCCGGGTTGTAGGCTCAATCCCAAGTAGCAGGAGGCAGGCGGTCGATGTTTTGCTTACACATCAATGTTTCCCTCTCTCCCTCTCCTTTCCTCTCTCTAAAAATCAATAAAAAATCTAAAAAAAAAAAAAGAGGAGGGAGGGGGATGTGACTGGAAAAGACAAAGGAGGAGCTTCTGGAGGCCCCATCATGGTTTAGTTCTTGATCCAGGTGGCACTTTATAATGATCTCTTATTTAGTACCTCTGTGTTTAATGCACTTTCTGTATACATGATACATTTTACAATTAAAATGTTTAAAATATGAAGCAAAAATAAAAACATGGGCCTGTGGGTGTTATTCCGTATTTTTATACTTTCCCAAAATATATACTTTTTAAACTGGTTCTGATCATCAGCCAGCCAGGTTTGGGAACAGCTCTCAAGTTCTTCCTGATCTGACCCTGCAAATAACTCACCATCACCGACAACATCCCTCCTCTCATCTCTCAACTAGATGTCTGAGAGGCAAATGAGAAATTCTTCCCAGCTTCTCTGGCTCTTTCCTACTGGCTGTCCCAGCCAGGTGACAGGACCACATACCCCTGTGCACACACAGAGCACAGCAGTGGTCAAAGAGGCTACGTGCTGGCGCTCAGGGACCTATTTCCCTTGCCAGTCTCTGCTTTCTTGCCCCATTTACCAGCCTGGATTTGGCCGAAGGTGGACCATGACCTGGATATTATGTTTGTCTGGTCAACCTGGAATGCCTGAGAGGACGCATTTCAAGCTATAATGAGGAAGATGCTCAGTGCCTGAAAAATCCCAAGTCCAGAGAGTTGAAAGATATAAGAGAGACTGAGTTCTAATCAAACCTAGAAATTGGCCCAACCTGAGCTAAGAACTTCCTCACTCGGTGGCATACTTCCAAAGGCTCAGTAGTCTCAGCCGAAGAAGCACATAGTGGCTACTTCTCTTCAGCAACTCCTAGTCCAGATCTGCTGGACCCTCCACATAGAAGTCCAATAAGCACCCTAATTCACAAGGCCAAAACTGAACCCAGGCTTTCTTCTAAACCTACTCCTCCACTAGCATTATCTGGCTTATTGAAAGGGAAGGTCCCACCTTCCATTCAAGCCCTCCATCCAACTCATCGGCAAGACCCATTGGTTCTAGCTCTGAAACTCTGGGATCTGTCTACTTCCTACGGCCTGTTACCCCAATCCTGACCACCATCATCTCGTACCTGGACCCCTTCAACCATCTCCTAAACAAGCAATCAGCCTCCAGGTTTTTCCTCCAACCACGGCTTCTTCACACAGTACTCAGAGGTCTTTCTAAAATGCAAATATGATTACATCTCTCCCTTGCTTAACAGCCTTCAGTGGCTCCTTATTATCTTCTGGACAACATAAAATCTTCTTAATATGGGGGATGAATCCCTTCATTTTCTAATTTTCTAGGTCTTATCTCTTATAATTCTATCTCTCACATACTTTGATCCAGCTCTATTAAAATTCTTAAACTTCCTTAAAAGTATCAAGCCCTCCCACCTCTTCGCCTTTGTACATGCTATCTCCTCTTCCAGTCCCTTCCCACCCGACCCTTCCTTGGCCCAGTTAATTCCTACTTATTACTCAAGTCACAGGGTAAATGGTAGTTCTTGGGAGGGGTCTTCTCTTGCTCCACAAAGTCCTTTATGTGCCTTCAGCACCCTACTTTGTCACAATATCTTTCATAAATATTGCTAAAGCCTGTTTAGCTGTCTGCCTTGCCCTTGATAACAGGGTTCATGCCTGCATTCTTCATCTTTATGTGCCTCACAACCTGATGTAGCAAGCACCCAATACCTAAGTATGACTGGATGGGTGTGTGCACTCAAAACTCAGAGGCTTTCAGAAAAAAGTGCAGAACAAGCCTCTAGTTTCAAAAGTTTACATATGAAGACAACCTAGATCATCTTCATTCTTTTTTATTTTTAAATTTAAAGAAAAAAATTTTTAATTGATTTCAGAGAGGAAGGGAGAGGGAGAGAGAGATAGAAACATCAATGCTGAGAGTCATTGATCAGCTGCCTCCTGCAAGCCCTCTGCTGGGGATCAAGCCCGAAACCCTGGCACGTGCCCTGACTGGGAATCAAACCTCGGTCTCCTGGGTCATATGTTGGTGCTCAACCACTAAGCTACACTGACTGGGCTAGATCATCTTCATTCTTCAGCCACAAAAATACCTCCAAGAGCTAGGTGACACTGACCATGTCTAATGCCAAATCAAGACCACTCACTCAGGACAGGACCAGTCACTGGCCACTAGCCACAATTCCCAGCTAATGGCCTGTCTGTGATTCTCGCTCTTGGTTCAGGTTCACTCTACCCCCCCCCTGACTCAGCTCATACCAACACCTGCTTCTGGCTCTGCTTCAAAGACCATCCCAAAGCAGAAAGAGAACAACCAAAACACATAGGAATGGGACTGAGCTGAGGGATGACGGGTGACAACAGAGAAGAGCTCAGAGTGAACTAAGGATCTGGGCTCAGCGCTAGCACTTCTGCAGGAACTTACCCCACCAGAGGCACAGCTAGTGAGGTTTGAACCTGCAAAGGCGACAGATGGTTCTAACTCCTAAACTTTCCTGCCAAAACCACATTTGCCTACTCAGCCGCTGCTCTCGGGAGTAGGGGCTGGAAAGGGGTTCATACTCTTCCTCCTTGATTTGACGGTAGCAACAGAAGGGCAGCATCACACATGCATCAAACTTAGGAGAAATTCAACCATCAGCCCTTGTAAAATACATGAGAGAAACAGAATTTCTTCTCATAGTGTGAGCAACTCAGAACTGGATGAAATTCTAGTGCTGAGAGATGTATTTGGATTGTCCACCCAGCTGGAGACTCAAGTTCTTTTCAGGTAGCGCTCAAAGAAATATTGTTTATACCTTTTATGTTGCTTTTTTATTCCTTCAGCCTTCTGCTTTACATTTATATACTTTAAAGACTAAAATGATAGTTTCTATGTATGCCCCTTTTTACATACTGTACATTACTATTTGTGACACATTTATACAAACATATGACCATAAAAAGAGTGTATATGCAAAATTACACAGGCCTTATGGTATGGTGATTTATGGATTTTTGAAAGCTACTGTTGATTACACATAGTTTTTGCCAATATGCTGACCTGACACCCACAAAGGATGAAGCTCCACCATGGGCACCATCCTCCAAGTTCCTCATCTGGCATCTTCACCAAGCCAGGAATGATATGGTTTTGTCCAACCAACAACATTCCGCAAAAACTCTGAGAACTCTAGTGGCCCAGTTGACAATGACAGGCCACCTACATGGGCGTCTGCATCAGGATCATCACCAGCAGCACCCAGGACAGAATGGAGACGGGAGATGTGGGGTACCAGAGCAGACCTGAGATGTGGGGCACTGAGGTCTGTCAAAAGGAGGCTGCCAGGCCTGCTCCTGGTTTTTTCCTTTCTTTTCTTTTTCAAGGTCAGTTTTGAATCACACTGGCTAGAAGGAAAGGATGACAAGGCCAGTTACCTTCCTGAGCACCCTTCAAGCCCCCAGCTCAGAAGAGTGACAGGTGGGGACATAATTCACTCCACACTGCTAAGGACCTGTTTGGGTTCAGTCTGCAGATTCTCAGGCCCCACCATAATCCCATCCTGAGGTGAGGGCTCTGGGGCTTCAGATCCACAGGCTCTCAACATCCCAGGCTTAAGTGTCCTTCCTTCCGCAGCCCTGACCAGCCTGAGAACCCAAACTTCCAAAGAACACACAGATAATCTTTAGAACAGTCTCATCCCTTCACAATCTCAGACAAAAATCAGAATCCCCATTTTTCAGGTGAGAAAACTGTGAAATCTCCTGTGCAAGCCAAACAAGATCAGGGTTCTCTGGACTTCCTGTCTCCCAAAACAATATTTCTGAAAATTTCTGGTTACCTTTTAATTACTCATCCTCAGGGGGTTCCTTAATCCTTCACAAGTTTCACCCAATTCCCACTCCCCACCCCCATACCTAAATCTTCTACCCACATCTTTCCCTATTTTCTTTCCAACTCGATTTCCTGGTCTCTTCTCCAGGTCTAAACATCCCCTTGACTCACTGAGCACCCAGCTTCCTGAGTGGCACTTAAGTGGAGCATCTCCTCTTTTTTAAAAAATAAAATAAAATAAAGTCCTTTCCCGTGGCTCGGAGCCCCTTCCCGACGGGCGCCGAGCTCCCCCGCGTCCTGTGCTCACCCACCCAGCTCAGGCGCCCGGTGACCCGCTTCCTCCGCACCCAGGGTCCCATCCTGCGTTCAGCCCGCCCGCCCCGGAGTTTCCGACCCTGTCCCCCAGCGCACCCGGGCGCAGCTCCCGCCCTTTCCGCAGCCCAGGCCCGAGCCTATTCTTCCCCGGG